GGGGACTCTGGGAGCAGGTCTGTGAAGGGGATTGTGGGACTCCTGTCTCAGTCTTATCTTTCTGCTTCTTGGCTTATGAGGAGAGCAGTTTTGCTTTGCCACACACACCTGCCATGATGTGCTGCCTTGTCAGAACTGCAAAGCAAGGGAACCATCTGATCCTGGTCTGGAATCTCCAAAGTCATGGTCCAAAATTAACTTTTTGCCTGAGTTACTATAGTAACACAAAGCTAATATGGACGTCACCCCTACTATTACCAGGAGGCTATTCCTTCCTCAGTACCAACTCAGGCAGCATGGTCCTGACCTTTCCCTTGTACCTGCTCTTTACAAAACCCCTGTCTCAATCCTTTAAGGTCTTTTTGTTCAGTCACATGAGGATAAAAAATAAGGAATGCCCACCTACAACAACACCTACCCACAAAATCCAGTTAAACACACTCAACAACTCATTCACATAGTACAGAAACTCATCAGACACCGTATCTGGGAGAATTAAGGGTGTGACTCTCACCCCAGTACATTTTCACTGAAGCCCCCCTGTGCTACTTCTAAAATCTGCTCCCTCATGTACCCTAAAAAATTCTATTCCAATCAGCAATTTCTTGTAAGAGGTGGGCCCTCGAGTGTATTGACTGAAGAAGTTCCTGGGTTTGCAACTTTCTGAAGACATGACTGGTTAAAGCAGTTTGGGGAACAAAGCATTCAGTGATTCTGAGCCTCTACTCACATATTGGTTTTCCAGAGAGCTCTGAGAGGCTCCATCTGCAGCACAATAGGCTTTTCCTTGTAACCCGAGAGCTTAGCTAATGACCTGCAAGTGTTTTTCTGCTGGGGAAGAACAACCTAGTGGAAACTTTCAAGGATAGCTTGAACATTAAAAATTGATGTGGTACTTTAAACTTTAATATTTAAACAAAATGCTTAGTGTTTACCGGTACTGCACATTTTCATAGGTACCAAATGTGGGGAAAAGAGTTTTGGACTGGGGAAGCACCAAAAGTCCAAAAGCCCTATTTAATATTCAAAGTATACATTCCTAAAAGTCAATTCAGGGATTTTAGCCTCTGATTGTTCTAGAGTAATGTTTTTCCTTCAGCCTAGAGCCAATATTTAAGTTGGAAGGACCGACAGCCTCCTCTTCCAACAGCCAGTAGTATTGGAAAAACTTCAGTCTCCGCTTCTATACTACCCATCCTCAACCTTTATTTCTGCAAAACATTTTAGTGTTGTCATTAACTGCGACAGCACAAAAATTCAATTATTTTTTAAAATGCGGGGCCGGGGAGATAGCTTAGTAGCATAAGTGCATGCCTGGCAAGCACAAGGCCCTGAGTTTAATCCTCGGTACCGCAAAAAATAAAATAAAATGTGTGCATGTTGGACAGAGTTCTTTCTGAGCAATGGAAGAAAACACGCGTGGCAGAAACAAAAACTGACCAAAATTTCAAAATAAGGAATACGTAACAACTCAGGAAGGAGGAAGAAAATGATGACCGTTGCTTGTGATTACATATTCCAGCTGTGTGCAGGCGATGCCCATAGGAACCAATATGACATGTGAACTACAGTGATCTGGGTTCCCGAGCCACACACAAGGACCAGACACCGTGCAACCTCATGGCACCATTTGGATGCCGACTATGTCAGGACAGAGTACTAGGGATTGGAGCAGCGCGCATTCCTATGGAAGGATCAATCAGAGTCCTTGTTGCAAAGCACTAGGACTCTGATTCAAGCCAAAAGAGATTAGCAGATCAGACAATTGGTTCATACAGGGGTAGAAGCTAGGGGACTAGGCCAGGAATAGGCTGGAGCAGGGAACCTGCAGAGGGCCCAGCAGCTGAGACAAAGCTCCCAGCCTGGTCAGGGCATGCTGTCACTGGAGGCTGGCCGTATCTCCTGCGGCCACATACTGCTCTGAGTAATAATCCTCATATAGGTTCTGGTTAGTCATGCGTGAGTCACAATCCTGCCCCTGCCTATACTAGCAGAAAGGGACAAAATTTGATCTTTGGTTAGCAAACTTTTTTTTTTTTTTAAATTATGTATGTAGTACACGGTTTATAGGATCTCACTACACAGATCAGACTCCTAGTGATTGTCCTGTTTTCAGCCTCCCAAGAACTGGGATTACAGGTGCGCGCCACCACACCCAGTTCAATCGAAGTCTCAGCATGCCCCGGGGGCAAGAGGGGACAGCAGATCAGAGATCAAACCCCGGGTCTCTGCATTTGCCTAAGAAGGTGCTTTAATCCGCTGAGCGATAATCTGGCCTGCCCTTCGTTAGCAATCTTCTTGTTTTGTTTTGTTTGTTTGTTTGTTTGTTAATGTAGGCTAAAAGCTAGGACTGTTTCAAGACACTGTAACACAGCCCCGGATTAGACAGTCTATCGTGGCGCTTTTCTGGCAGGGGGGCCATACATAAACACGTAATGATGAGCTGCAAAGAAAGGCAAGAACACAAAGGCTCAGAGAGAGCACAGGTTTGGCCGCCAGTGCTATGGCTTAGAGCTAGAATGATCTCCCAAAGCCACGCAATGTTCAGAGATGGGAGCTGCGGACGATGCTGGAACCATGACGGCACTGTAACTGAATTTTCTTTGGAGCTGGGGTCTGGCTGGAGGTGGGGTGACTCCGAGGGGTGTGTCTTCCTGTCCGGCTCCTCCCTCCCCGCTGCTTCCTGGTCGCGGCGCGGGCAGCAGCCTTCTGTCTGCCGGGCCCGTGTGCGTGCTAGTTCTGCCTTGCACTGAGACTGCGAGCCAAAGTAAGCCTCTCCTCCCTTCAATTATCAGCTATTTTGTCCCAGTGACAAGAAAGTAACTAGGCCAACCACCAGACTCGCATTTTTGATCAGGGTCAGGACCTGCAGCAGGTGAGGGAGGGGCCTTCAGGCCAGCAGAGAGCGCTCCCAGGTGGGCGGCCACGGCAGAAGCCAGAGCAGCCATGAGACGCAGGGTGGGGGAGCCAGGGCGGAGCAAGCCGCCCGGAGCCGTGGGCTGCACTTTGCTCCCTCCGTGTTCCCTTCCTTGCAGCGGCGCTTCCGCTAGCACAGCGCCCTCTCCAGTCTGGCACTCAGAGTACAGGAGAAAATCCCCCGAGGGAAACAGCTGCCTTTTAGTAGAAGAATGTCTGCTGGAATTTTTGTCCTTGTCCAGCTTGGTGAGGACATTTCACAACCCCATTTTGTTTGTTTGTTTGTTTGTTTGTTTATTTATTTATTTATTTATTTATTTTACCGGGGATTGAACTCGGGATGTTACATTTGTGAGGCAGGAGCTTAGGCTGCTGAGCTGTTTCCCTGCCGAATCTGCATTTCAAAATACTTTTCAGCACCACTTTTACTTAAGCGAATTTATCTTCTTAATAATTCTAGCAGATTGGGCTGGGGCGATAGCTCAGTGGCAAAAGCGCATGCCTGGCTAGCGTAAACTCCGGAGTTCTATCCCCAGTACCACAAAAATAAGTAGTTCTAGCAGATTAACTTAAAAAGAAAAAAGGGGTGATAATGTATATACTTTATGCATACACTGCACTCCTCAAAACGCAAAAAGCAGATGCACTAGTTTGTCAACTTCGTCAAAGTAAACTGTGTATAAGAAGAAAAGATAGATGAACACTGGTCCACCTCAACATTTTGAACTCCCTAGGAAGGCCTGTAGCTGGAACTGTAGAAGCCAGAGGAGATACTTACCTCCTATATTAAAAATACAATGGACGCAGTCTTTCTGTGTTTCGTGTGCCTTTCTACTTACTCCCTCCCCACTGAGAACACATAGGAATAGGGACAGTAAAAAACAAAACTTGGGAACAATCATGTACAGCAAGAGCATAATAATTTTTTAGTGCTCAGATTGCCTGTTTGTCAAAGACGCCTGATTTGGAGTTGCAAAGCGCACTGAGCAATTTTTTTTTTAATTTTTTTTTTTTTAACTACTGCTAGTGGGGCAGCCAGGGTTACAGATTTGGAAGAGGAGGAGGAGGACAAGGAGAAGAAGGAGGGGAATGGAGGAGGAGGAGGGGAAGGGGAGAGGACACAGAGGCTGAGAAAGCACACCAGCATCAGTCCTTAATCCCTGTACTTCTTATTCTTAGGGTGCAGTAGCACGGGGCAGCCTGGAACCTGGTGTATGGCCACGGAGATACAGCATCCAGACTCCGTGCCCTGTCACACCCGGGAAGTAAACCCTGCCTCAACGCCAAGTCCCGAGCTGCTGCGGCCTGGTGACCTGATCCCCTGATCCCGGGGCTCCCGTGATCCCTGGACACGCCCAGTGTAGCGCGCCTGCTGAGTGTGACCCTAAGGCCTGTGGCACCACGAGCCTTAACTCTGAGAGCGCCAGCGACATTTGTAACAGTAGCAACTATGACGCACTGCGAACTCTCCCGACAGATAGGGTCCCAGCTGAAACTTCTGCCTATGAACGATCAGATCCGAGAGTTGCAGACCATCATCCGGGACAAGACAGCCAGTAGAGGGGACTTTATGTTTTCTGCGGATCGTTTGATCAGACTTGTTGTGGAAGAGGGACTGAATCAGCTGCCGTATAAAGAGTGTATGGTGACAACTCCAACAGGGTACAAGTATGAAGGAGTACAATTTGAGAAGGGAAATTGTGGGGTCAGCATAATGAGAAGCGGCGAGGCAATGGAGCAAGGCTTACGAGACTGCTGTCGATCCATACGAATTGGAAAGATCCTGATTCAGAGCGATGAGGAGACCCAAAGAGCCAAAGTCTGTTATGCCAAGTTCCCGCCAGACATTTATCGGAGGAAAGTTCTTCTGATGTATCCAATTCTCAGCACTGGAAATACTGTCATTGAAGCTGTAAAGGTCCTTACAGAACACGGAGTTCAACCCAGTGTTATAATCCTGCTCAGTCTCTTCTCCACGCCTCATGGTGCCAAATCAATCATTCAGGAATTCCCAGAGATCACAATTTTAACTACTGAAGTTCATCCCGTTGCACCTACACACTTTGGACAGAAATACTTTGGAACCGACTAAGTTATTGAAGGAAAGGGAAATATCTTCTGTACTATTACAGTTACATTTTGATTTTTCTATTTGTTTTACTAAGTTGAGGAACAATGGAAGAGAAGATCATAAAGATGCTTTTTAACCTTGAAACTAGGTACAGTAAAAGGGAAATATTTAAAATGTATTAATTTTAGTTATTTCTTGATGGTTGGCAGCAAATTCATCAATGAAGCACACATACAACCCTTAGAAAAGGTGGAAATGTTAATGTTAATACAAGTTGGTGAACCCTGAGTGCATTGAAGTTGCTCCCTAATTTGTGATCCTTAGTTTGGAGGTTGCTTGCAACTACAAAGAAAATCTAAATAAGTTGGTTCTTTGGCCCACTACAGTTCCCATTTTGTGTAGTGTGGTTTTAGCTCTGGTAAGTATTCATGTATGTGACTATTGCCACTTTCCTCTACTCTTTACCTCCTGGATTTGTACATACTGGTAACTGGGAAAGAAGCATTGTGCCTTCGGGAATTTTGTATTTTCCTTAACATACCCAATTCACAGACCCAGGATGTATGGTGAAATTCTTAGTCAGGTCATCCTATTTCTCATGACTATTCATCCAAACTGTACATTATTGGTAGGTACTTTGCCAAGCTACAATATGTTGAAGAAAATGACTGGGCATTTTTAGTAACTGGAACTGTAACAGTTGATACAGACTAAACCAGGGATACCTGAATGCTGACAAAAGAGAGCTGGGTACTGTTAATGTTGTCAATCCTTTAGAAAACAATTTGTGGTGATTTTTGGAGGGGTGGGGAAAGAAATTACTTCTTACTAGATTTCATGGCCAACAAATAAAATAAAATACATAATTTTAATTTGGGTGTTCCTACAAGAAGTCTTTGATTTGAAAATTAATTATTTTGCATGTTTGTCAACTGTAGACATATTACAATAGAGAAATTATATTCTCTTAAAAAATTCCCAAGATTTATGTGTTTGTATTTAAGCTTCTGTAAGGCAGAGACACCAATTGAGAGACACCAGATTGATTTTTAGAAATCAATCTTTGTGTGCTAAAATTTGCTTATGAAACCTGGGTCCCATTTTACATTGACAATAAAGCTTTTTTTTTTTTTTTTTTGCGGAACCAGGGATTGAACTCAGACCTGTGCACTTTCCAGGAAAGCACTTATTCCACTGAGCCATCTCCCCAGCCCCTAAAGCATTTTAACAATAAAAAAACAACAATAACAACAACAACAACAAAAACTATTGCTAGTGAACTTAAGGGAAAAAAACTAGAAACAGACTTATTCTTTTAGGCTGGAGGTGTACACTCTGTTCAGCATTGTTTGCTGAGCATCCGTTACTGTTTTGAGGGCCAAAGTGGCCAGGATCTGATTCTGCTAAGGGCTGTCACTGGTGTCCAGTGATGGAAGAGTCAAAAATACTGAAGGAATGAGGCAGCCTAGGCAGAGGGAGCTGAAGTCAAGGTGCCTAGTTTTCAAAAGCCACAGAGACTCCCATCACCACTTAAAATACTTTCTTGGCCAATGGACAAGTATGACTTTATCATAGTACTTGGAATCCAATGAAAATTAAAAGACCGTGGAATGGTCTTTGAAATGGAAATTCAAGTACTTTTTAGAGATCCCTAGAAGGCCTGGGAGACCTTGTGGAGCTGCCTGAGAGACACAGTGCTGATCAGTTAGGAAGCATGTTGAGTTGTGCTGTTGATTTCAGATTTGCCTAGGACTAGGCCCAGCCCAGCCCCCTCTTCCTGCTACCCACCTGGCATCTTGTCCTTCCCACCAACCAAAGTCCATCCTAAATGCTACAATGGCTAAGCACACTTCTCTCACCCACTGGCCTCTGCCTGGCTATCACAGTACTCTTAGACTTTTCACAGATGCTCAGTGAGCTCATAAATGTTCACAAAAGTCATTTAACATTTAACAGCTCAGAGAAGTGAAGAGTTTTTCAGCAATTTTGGACCATCCTCTGTGCTTGTCCTCCTGATAGGGATAGTTATCATCTGTACCTGAAATATTCAAATAACTACCTGATCAGTTTTTTGAGGTCATGACAGCCCCTCAGTGATCACAGACAACTGGGTAGCATTTATCTTTTTTTTTGTGTGTGTGTGTGTGTGTGTGTGTGTG